TATAAAAAGCAAACTATCATGCAACATCCATCCACTCGTTCCCTTTGAAAAGAACAATGACAGAAATATTTTTTCTTACAGATACGTCTTAATATAATTATTACGTCAGTAAAAAATGAAAAGATTATTTTAAAAGAAGTACATTATTTGATAACAAATTTACAAATTGTGAGAACAAAAGAAATTCCAATATCTAAAAATATCACAAAGTTGGATTTTTGGAGCGACAGTTTTCTTTAACGAAAAATCTTTTTTGATTGAACACAAGTTAACGAAAGTATTGATAATGAACAAGGAAAATAGCTTTAATGTGACATTCTTTTTGAAAGAGTGTCACGTTTAAACTTTAAAAAATACTTCTGTTCGTTCGTTTGCACTTTTCTAAAGGAAATTCGTTTTATATTAGTAACCAGTAGTAAATATTTACATGTTTTTATACAATATTTAACAGTAGTAAGTTTATTTATTTTAAATTTTTGTTTTAACTTTAATAATCATAAACGAGTCTCAAAGGAAGTCTAACCGTGGGTTTCCGAGTCCAAAATATCTTTATAAAACATATCATCTCTGACATTATCTTCGACAAAATAGAGTTAACGCATGTTTTCAAAGGAGATTTCAGTCTCAGAAACTCACGGTAAATGAATGTCGAAATCCAAACAACAAAAATTTGTTCACTACGATAAGAGGACTTGTTTGTGTATAAGGTAATAATTAACTTTTATAACGTTATTATAGAAGAAATAGATTCAAGACAATACCGATAAAGAAACAACGCAATAAAACCTATTTACAGAAGTTACGTCTTGGTAAAAACAAATAATAGGATAAAGTATCTACAGAGGAATTCCAATATCGAATCTGCAAAAGTATGACAAAGTTGAATTGAGCGACAGTTTCCTTTATCGAAATTCCCTTTTTCTGAAACTAAACTTTGGAAAAGTATTGGTAACATTACGTTCTCCAAGATTCTATAAGGAAAATGACCATATTTTTTGACATTTATAATCTGATCAGATTTTGAATCTATCTCTACATTATAGAACATAAAGTTCAGTACTTATACCTTAATTTGCTACTTACATTTACCTCTAGTCATAGATCTAGATCTTATGTCGCGTTTCCACGTGCTACACTCCGTAAACTGACGTCGACATAGTGCCTTTTTTGTTTTTACATAACGTTCGTGTCCGTCCTCAGAATAACGTATCGTGTAAACGCACCTTTCGACTTGTCTCTCGAATATCCTAACTGGTATTGCCATTGACGGCGATTTATACCTGATTTTAAAGTCAAAATTGAACTAGCTCTTTAAGTCTTCAGTACTTATTTCGTCGCAACTTCGTCACTATCAAAGAAATATGATAATATCACTTTGCTAGGCTCACAACGAAAGCATCTGCCGAATGTGTATGATTTCATGAATAATGCAAAACTCTGATTGCGTGAATGTTGATTCCTGGAGTTCTGTGAGAAAATGCCTTGTTCCCAATTCATATGATAAGTGCCATACTTACCTTTGATATGCCCTTTACAAAAACTGGCCGAAAATCTGTAAATTACAAATGAAGATTTGAAGTAAAAAATAACATTTCAATATTAGTTAAGAGGTTAATAAAATTACTAATCAAGATTGTTACTCTCTAATTTCATTGCGAATTTAGTGAATTAAATTATACAGTTCAGTGAATAAGCTTTGACAAAATGGTATAATTACATAATTAGAGTAGACTTATACCTAAAATTCAGTACTACAATTTCGTAAGAACGCTCAAGGCTCTGTCGGATTAATGTATTTCGTAATTACATACTTTTCAGAACTTAACTTGTTTTCTTCTAAACAACGATTTCGTAGTTGTATCGCACTTAGCCGTACACAAAAAAATTCACAATGGCAAAGACTGCAGCATTTATTTTGCGTGTATACCCCAAAAAAAGAAAAAAAAATGTCTATGTCAACTTTTGCAGATTAATTTTTTTTTGCCTATGACATGGCATAATTTTAATTTAATCTGTTATAAGTAAACTATTAATTAGCCATCTATTTTTAGACATCATTACAAAAACAAAGGAATCTTTTCTTAGTAAAATTACAATGTAAAGAAGTTTAAAAGGTTTCTTCGCAACAAACTATTACAACTAAAAAGGGTTCAAAGTTATACAACGCACTTAAAAAAGTCTAAGATAAAGTCCTTTTTGTAAGCAAAGTTAATATTGAGTTTTATTGAGGTTAGTCCCTTTTTGTTATAGAGAATAGACGCTTTTAGAAGTGCCCGCTTTAAGTGGAACCTTTTACTTATACAACAAAATATTGAAAGTATTCATATGGAAAGTTTTAAAATACTAAAATATTCTATTCAGAAACGGTTTACGTATGACATGTACACGCAAATCGACTCTAATTATTAAAAAAAAAACAATGTTATACCTCAACATATTCCCTCGTACATTAGTAGAATACAATGAAGCCTGACATTAATACTAATAACATTTCAGCTCCTTTCAACACCAACAATGAGAAATGCTAGACGTAGTTACACTTAATGAATCTTTATACATCGCGTTTAACGAAAACGCTTCTGATTACCGCTTTAACAAATGATGCCTAATGTACTTAGCGTTATATCACGAATAATTACAAAATATATTAAGACTAAGCAGGGTTGGTTTTAGCCGGCGACCTGGGCGACATTTTTGCGGCGCCCTTTTTTTGGTGTTGGGGAAAATCTTCTATATATAGGGTGAAGAAGAACAAGTATTAGTTGCGTTATATTTGGCTCGTTCACGTACCGACACGTGTTGCCGGTCCAAAGGTCTGACATAGACTGACGTCCCCTCTCTCCGGCATGTACATATGGCGTGTACGGTCGAGACAAACATCACTACATTTATGCATACACTACATAGGGTATCTTGAGGAATACCACAGGCACGCCTTTATACCCAACTCTGGCTCTTGTGGTGCTCTCTTATGCTCGGCGCCTTGCTGGTCACTTCATCTTGCCCTACCGTCACACCGCTACTAAGTAAGCGAAGTCAGTCATAATCGCTAAAGAAGCCCCTTAGTGTAGATTAGGTATGAAAACTCTAAACTTTTGAATCAATACAATAATAATGAAACAATTGACAGTGTAAATAGTATTTTAAAAAACTGATAGGAAACTATCAACATTACTGCGGTTGGTACCTGAAAGATAATTTCCATGACTATAGATACTAACCTACTTTTTATAACTAAAATATTTATTTTCATTCTCCTGCCAGCATTATAAGCAAGAGTTCTAAAACCAAAATGTTAATGGCCACCATCCTAGTTTAACTGTCAAATGGAAGGACTAACCGTGAGTTTCTGAGATCAAAATCTCCGTTTAAAATATGTTGTTATCTCTGTTTTGTCAATGATGAAAGACAGAGATGACAATATGTTAAACGAAGATTTTGGTTTCAAAAACTCACGGTAAATTAGTAAGAAACTAAAGAAATCTAGAATTAATCATTGAGTAACAAATTGACAAACAATTATGTATGATAAAGAATGCCGCAATATTACCTTATCAATAATTATTTATATAAAATTGAAACACAATATCATTTATTACAGTTGTAATAAAACACAAACATTTGGGTAAGTAATTCAAATTATTATTACTATGAAATTACTCCATATTTTTTAATTTATGGTCATCATGAGAGTAAACGTCACCTATGAGATCTCTTGAACCCGATGATATGTAAGGAAGTGTGAATAAGGAAATTATGTGTTTTTTTTAAATATGGCGGTTATCGTATGACGCACCATAGATTAACAAAACAATATTCTAAATCAAAAACAAAAAATCTTCCTAAATTGATAACTTCAATTTGTTTTGTTTTCCGTTTAAATGTTTGTAAAAATGCTAATACGAGATATTATCGTAACAAGATGTTTGTATTGCGTTTTACTATAACGACACAATAGTTGATTGCGAAAGACATTGACTTATCTTTGACCCGTCTGTCGCGTCACAACCGCGCCCATTCCACGCATTCAAATGCTATAATAATTAAAATTATTACTAATATTATTAATTCAAAAGTCAATTGCATCTGTTTGTTTGTTCCATTGCCATAATAAAATTGGTAAAAAAATTATTAGTATAATTATTTGGCGCAGATTAATTAAAAGTATTGAAAAGAAAAATATTTTTTATTTATTACATTATAATTTGGTGTCCTAATGCATAATGAAACTAGGCTGATAAACACCCATTGTCTCAATATATTGAATGGTATGTATACTAATAAGTAGCGTTAAAAACCGTGGGCAACGTATTATATTAATATTAGCAACTATTGCTATAGCAACATACATCTATTAATGCTTATCAACCACACTACCAGGGGCAATAATTATGTTTACGATATTCATTCGCAGGAGGTTAATGTGATTTAGCCGCGCTTACAATTATATAATGTTTGTATTTTAAAGGACAAAATTATACGTATACGTTTGTATAAATTATAAAAAAAGTGTCTCGAAGAAAAATATTTGTACAACACTGTCATAATAATTATTACCTGATGATTCACAATGCAACGAAGTTAATCTTTAACTTGAATCGCAACACAAAATTTTTAAAGTTTTTTTCATTTATGATATTATGTGTCCCACCACCTTGAGTTTTAAGCCATTAGTGATCCATGCAGACTTTATTTTTTAAATTACACTAAAAGAAGAGTTTTCGTGCCAATATTTGAATACTGACACAAATTTTCTGGTTTTGGAAATTCTTTTACGTCCAGGTCAACTGCGACATAATAATATTAGTTTTAAAAACCATTAGTTTACAAAATATAATTATTTAATGATATATGACATGGATCTATTTTAATAACATTTTCTAAAAGCAAAGATATCTAAAACAATAGGTAATGTTATAGTGTTATGGTTAGTTGCTTGCATTACCTAGCCTAAGCATGCCTCGTAAAGGCTTTGACGCAACTGTCAATGTCATCTTCAGTTAAAACAAATCGTGGGTCGGGGTTAGGTTATTTTATAACCTCTTCATAGTTAAAATTGTAAATTAAAAAAGAGTTTTTTGTGAGTCTGATACATTTTACTACTAGTGTACAGATCCTACTGATATTTTTTACTACTATTCAGGATATTTCTGATAAACATGTAAGTAGGCTTTTATTTAAATTATCTAAAATAAGCGTTCTAATGTTTGTTTACCCATATAAGTTTTTATTTTTCTTGGTCAAATTAATCATTTCCCCACATTACATTTATAGTTATAGCATTACGTGGAGTTAATAGAATTATGTCTTATTTTTGTAAAATAACAGGTTATCTAATTGTTCTCGTCTTAACTTTTATCAACTATTTCGTGCGTAAACTTTTCTTATGATAATTTATACGGATGGAAAAACAATTGAATGATTAAAATTTACATTGAAACGTGTCTTTAACACGTCATTAAATAATTTTAATTTAATGTTTGATATAAATTGCTTCCATTTTCTTTGGACAAATAGTTTTGCAAACAAATCAATGTTAAATTGATAGAACGGCTACATAAATTAAATATTACTGATTTGAATTGAAATGTAAAATGTAATATTAATAATCATTATTTTAAGTACCAAGTATAATTGTGACAATATTAAGTACTAAGTTTTAACCAATTTTTATTAGAGAAAAAAACATCTACAGACTCTTGGTGCATACTCTTTTTTGCACATGTTCCTTTAAATTACAATAGTTAGTACCTTTTTAATAAAAAAAAATTCTTTTATTTTTTTAAATTAGGTTTGCTACTTTTTTTCTATTGTTCGAAAGTTGATAAGGCAACAAGCAAGTTTCTACATTTGTAAATTTCCTAATTTGTCAGAAATTAACGCAATAGAGTTATTTATGACAATTATATTACTATTTTAATTAAAATGAGAACATTAATCAATATAAATAAATTTTTGTTTATAATGATGACACCATAATTCATTGTACTTGTACTTATCATGAATATGAAGCGGTTTTAACCAGTTTTATACAACTGAAATGGAAACACATTGATATAATGTGAACTAAATAACCTTTCTTACTTGATTGCTTCAATTTAACACCTTTTATCCGTAAAAAAGCAGACATTACTGGTTATTAACAGAATATTTTTTTGAAATGTTATCGTAATATTAAAGCCGTCTGGTGAACTAATGACCTCTATACGTCAACAGTAGGCGATGAGGCAAACTATTTGTTTTCGGATTGTCAGTTCACTTTTGTCTACCAAGATGAGAAGTCATACATACTATGAGTCGATGGGAGCGGCCAGGTAATTGTTGACGATTTAGGTTTTATTTCTATTCGTGTGTCTGTGTGTTTTTCTGTCATTTCAAAGGTGTTTTTAGTTGCTTATTTCTATGCTAATTGACACGGTATTTATTCATTCACCAAACTTTTTTTAGCATAACAATAGTAGATGAAATTTTGTAGGTTTTTTTAAATTGCTGAATTAATTTAAAATTTTCTATAATCTAGTAACTAATGTATGTTTATTTGTTATAAATCATTTTTCTTTTGTTCTATAGAATTATGGCCCAAATTATTGATGGGAAGGCACTGGCTAAAGAAATTAAAGATGAATTGAAGATTAAAATCCAAAGTTACATAAATCTAGGCAACCGTGCACCATCCTTACGCTGTATAATAGTCGGTGAAGATCCAGCAAGTCATACATATGTCAGAAATAAAATACAAGCTGCGATAGATGTTGGAATTGATGCTACAACAATAAAATATGATGCAACATTAAGTGAAGATGATTTGATAGAAGCAATTAATTCTTTAAATATAGATAGAAATGTTGATGGAATTCTTGTACAATTACCGTTACCTGGAACAATGGATGAAAGAAAAGTTTGCAATACCGTTGCACCGGAAAAAGATGTTGATGGTTTTCATATTATCAATGTTGGCCAACTTTGTCTTGATATGCCAACTTTTGTGCCAGCTACAGCCCTTGCTGTTGTGGAGATTTTGAAAAGGTAAGTTTTACACAATTTTTTTTAATTTTATTATTTTTAGGGTTCCGTACCTCATATGAAAAGACGGAACCCTTATACTCGTAGAATCACTTTGTTATGCGTCCGTCCGTGTGTCAAGACCTTTTTTTTTAATTACTATATTATTTTTGTTATTACTGAAGTTAGGCAACGGTATACTAACTGTCGCCCATGACTCCGACCGCTCGGATAAAAAACAAATAAGTAGTCTATGTGTTCTTTCTAGTTCTACCAAATTTCAGCGAAATCCATACAGTCTGGATATACCTACTAATAAACATCCATCCATACACCGAAACATTCGCATTTGTAATATTTGTAAGATTAAAAAATTAATTGAAGTTTTTGAATATGTTTCTCCATTGAAGTCCATCAATAATTATAGTATAATATATTTAAATAGGTATTTTTTCAAAACAAAAGAAATATTACTATACTAAAAAATATTGTAGTTAGTGCTGATATTACTTCTATTCAAATAATAATGTTTAATCGTTGTTTAAACTAGAGTTGCGATATTCACGTAGTTCTCTTTGAAATGGTATGTACACTGGATAGACAATTATTAATCCGTAACCGCTCTCCATTCCATATATCGCACGATCTAATGAAACAGATCTCCGGTTGACCTATTTCCAGCATTCAATAAGCCAATGTGATGAAATGTTCATATCACTATTCAGTGGTTTTTTTCAAAACTACCTACTTGCTTGTCTGAAATAATCCGTACATTTTAAATGCATAGAAACTAAAAGCTTACTCTGCCTTTTAAAACACGGCAAAATCATAGAGTAGATAAAAACAGAGTGATTTTTTTGGTCTTGTAGGTATAAAATAGATACGTTCGGTCGGAATGCAGTTGTGGTGGGTCGTTCGAAGAATGTAGGCATGCCGATCGCTATGATGCTTCATAGTGATGGGAAACATGACAGCCAATTGGGTATGGACGCAACTGTGACAGTATGCCATCGACATACTCCAGCGGAACAGCTGGAGTTCTTCTGTCGTAATGCTGATATTATTATTACTGCTACTGGTATGTACTACTATTTAATTAAATTATGTGTGTTCTTTTAAGACTACTTGGCTTAGCGAAGTATATGTCTCCTATAAAAGATTTCGTCATAAAACATTTTAAATTTATGGTGTTCCGTTATTACCCGTCAAAATAGAAAACGCCTACGTTTGAATGACATGTCGGTCAATTACTGTATGTTCATATTTCGTTTATATTTGTAGGTGTTCCTAAATTGATTAAAGCAACAATGATAAAACCCGGGGCTACAGTTATAGATGTAGGAATCACAAGAATCACAGATGAACAAGGGAAGACGAAACTTGTCGGCGACGTTGATTATGAAGGTATTTTAACTTATACAAAATTTCTAAATCTCTGATTAAACACACATATCATAAGATTACAGGATTAGTTGTGGACAGGATGGTTGATGAACTTTGTCTTTTTAGATATAATTGTCTATTGCTATTGCTCACCGATTTTTTTTTGTTTTTATTTTATAGAGGTTAGCAAAATAGCTGGAGCAATAACCCCGGTTCCTGGTGGAGTGGGTCCAATGACAGTCGCGATGTTAATGCATAACACACTACAAGCCGCTCAGAGGCTTGCAAGAAAGAATTGAACATGTTTACCTACGTGACCTATCTACGTTATCTAATCGGTTGCGATTAGTTATTTTTTCTCGAATATGTGGAAATCTTATTACCGATTATAATTATTTCATAACTGTATGGTTAACTTTTGTTTGCACAAGACTATTGTTTATATTAAGACGTAAAAGGTTAAGAAAATAAAAATAGGTAAAGAAAATGTCTAAAATTGTGCCTTTATAGATTAAAAATCTCGTAGCATTTAAAGAAAAGTATTATATTTAAGTGACTTATTATAAGTTTCTTCTTTATTTATATTAGTTAGGGTTTTATCGTTTTACTAAAATACATTCCTCATTTGATTTTTTTTTTGGAATGGCTGTGAAAATAATATTAAATTCATAAAATCACCTAACTCTTGTAATTTTGTTGAGCTCAATGTACGTAGTTTACATTTATATATTGATTTTATTTAAATTAAATTGCATTTATAATTTAAACAAAAGAAAATAGTAAACGATTTTTATTCCTTATGTACTGGATGAAGACCGATTTAACATTTATATATAAAAAATCTTTTATGTAAATTTACGTACAAATAATTGTATTTACTTGTTATGAGACAATTAAATTAAATATATAATAAAACGTTTTGTTTTTTTTTAATGTTAATAGCCCAATGGTTAAGGGTATAGATTTTGATCAGGTGGTCCAGAGTTCGATTCCCGCCTTTCGACTATTGTCGTTAACCATATCATATAACAAGGCTAGAACGTACTTGGAATGGTACATGAATAATTTAAATTAACAAGAATCTGCTAATATTTTAACTATAAAAAAAAACAAATAAAAAAAGCCACAAAAATTATTAGTATATACCTAACCCAAATTCCTTTTCAAGTTCTAGGAATTATATTGTTAAATTACGAAATAATCCACATTTATTTGGTTTTTTTTATTGTATAAAAAGAAAACATCTATCAGAACTACACACGCCTCGTTTTGTAACAAAATAAACATTAATTTGCTCGTTACTTTCGTCTAAACAAGACACAATTAGGCTCTCTATTGCTGAAGGCTTTTATAAAAAAAAATACAAACATTCTAAAAAGGATAACCCATTAATTTTAATAAGTGAGATTTATAAGAGGGAGTTTACACTGAAGGCAAGAAAAATCACGTCTTTTATTTAAATTAGGCAGTGCTATTCCTGCTCTTTTTTCAACGAACAGTCTCGAGAATGTTTTCTCCAATATATAAATAATGTTAATATATTTAAATATCGAGATGCTACATTAAATAGTTAATCCGTTTAATCCGTGCGTGCGGTGCGTCCGGCTCGGGCCAGTGGACGCGTACCTTTATACGAACCGAATTGACCTTTCCAAAAAAAAAAAACATTAATATTTTTACGTATATCAAAAGTTTGTGTTTTTCATCAAGTGTAAGAATGTCGTCATCGGTCTTGTTCGTTATTTCATGTGACGTATATTGTATACGCTAAGAATAAATACATTAAACATAACAATAGACCGGACGGTATATCGATAGATGCTCAGAACGATTGCTAGCAACTCAGTTGTTAAGTTTGACACGTCGAGACTTGTCGCTAGATTAGTTCATTTATCAATATAATAAGCTCCCAATACAGTTAATTAGTTTTATAAATAAATCTAAATAGATAAAAAAGTAAATACATAAATTATAGTCTGTTCATTAACATACGATATCTGTGGCGAGCCTTGACATTTGACATTTAGTGGATTGATGTAGATAAAAAATAAATAGGTCGCTTAGTTTTGTTTCCTTATTTTTTAGTAGCGTTTTTTTTAAACATGTAAAATTCAGTCATGTAAAATTCAGAAAAAAATCTATAACTTTTAGTCATTATTAGATAGAATCAGATTGATTAGTGAGGGGATAAACGTTGATATTTTAATAAGGTTGCGCCGATACACCGCCGGTACAGTGTCGTATTCCTCGTAGTCCTAACATAACCCATAGATCTTGGTAAGTATTATTCCCTTATTGCATTATAGATTTATTTCTTGGATTAACTATACTTTATAATAAGCCTAATAAGTTATAAAGTATGATAGTTTACTATCATCTTTGGTTGCCTCAAATATCATCAACGATTTTTTGCATGAAAAGAATCTTTATCTCGGATACTTCTTTTCAAACAGAAAATGGTTTCTTCAAAATTATTCAAACTTTCCTGAGACATTATAATAAACTTAACTAGTTTCAAGCCCATCGGGGGTTCTTCATCAGGACGAGTGAGCGACAGGCTGCGTCCGCGAAATAATACCAGTCCCACTCACCCTGATGAAGGGGGACAGATGGGACTGGTATAAACTTGTCGGTGCCGCCACCGGACGAATATACGTGAGTGTTTTACCGTTTTTATATAAGTTTGTTAGTGTCTTAAAAAGTTATTTAAAACAACGTTTATATAATATTAAACCGAAGCTAAACAAGACAAAGTATTGAAATTACGCAATCTTAAATTTCGGCGTTCAGTATTTCCACAAATTGTCTCGTATCTTGCCAACAAATTACGTAAATACCTGATGATAATAGCTTTTCCTTTAGTATTAATTAAGGAAAGGTTCTTCAACTTTTTGTAGACTATACTTCATTAGTAGGCGCATAGTATTCATAATGCCAAGTTTACATTATTCCAGTCCAGCAACCGATATAATCACTGGATTATAACTGGAACTCTATATGACATTTATGCATGAAGTGCACTGAGTGGGTTTACATTGTTCCAGTTGTATACCTGTGTTGATTCGATCGCTGGACTAGCATAATGTAAACAGCGAACAGGGAAGGTCACAGCCGCACACTATCGAAACATATTATTGTCTCTGTCTTTATCTTTGAAAAAACTGAGGTAACAATATATATCTTTGTATGGTATTCAAATATTAGCGATAACCAAGTGCTTGGATAAAAATTAAAAAAAAGTCCAGGATTTAATTGATACTGGGTTTCAATATACACTATAACAGTATTTGTATTAAATTTATTTAAAGTGGAGCATTTTACGTTTCAATAGTTCGTTGAAAACGATATCGCTTAATTGGCGTGTTTTACTATTTTGTCATAAAAAGTTAATTGCTCTTTATTGCTAGCAAATCTATTTAATTCATTACTTGGTTGGTTTATAGTACCCTAGGGTATTTATTACATTAAAATAACACGAAAGTGACATCTTTTGAACGCGACTTCGTCCACACTTGATCAAAAAAAAATCTTTATCTATCCCAATTCATCAAGATTCGTTAAGCCGTCCTGCAGATACAAACATTCATCTAATCATTCGCATTTATTATATTAGTAAGATTTAATAACTAAAGTAATCTGATGTTGTATACAGAATTTTCTTTTATTTATCTATATATAAAAAAGAAAGTCGTGTTAGTTACACTATTTATAACTCAAGAACGGCTTTACCGATATGGTTGAAAATTGGTGAGGAGGTAGCTTAGAGCCAGGAGACATAGGATACTATTTATTCAATTTTTTTTCGAATTTATGCCTTGAAAAGCTGCTTTTTATTTAACTTATCTATATATTAAGTTTTTTTATATATCCACGCGGACGGAGTCGGGGGCGACAGCTAGTACAAATTAAAAAAAAAAAACTATGTGAAGAAAAGATGTTAATTCTAATTCAACTAAGTGTAAAGACATTAACATACCATGTAAAGCAGTCTCAAAGAGTCTCCTTCTCACTGGAGTTGAATAGAGTTATCACAATAAAACACTGATTATATCTTGATGCGATTCAACTTTAATCAAATCCTTTCCGCAGTTCGATAAATATACCAAATAGGTTAATACCGCGATCTAGCAATATGGTCCGCCATCTATTGACATAATAGTCATAACATTCATCATATCTTAGCATAAAAAATGTTTCCTATAAACAGTCAAATTCCAAAAATAAACGTCAATACAATTTCCATAAAATGATTGTAACTTCAAGATTCCATGATCAGGGATTGGCTATAAAACACAGGATTTCGCAAATAATCGTCCCTCGCAAAGTTATTCGACTATAAAATTCCTACAATTTTACGGTTGATTGTATATACTAAAAGATTACTGACATTGTTTAAAAGTTTATAACGCGGCAGACTTTGCTTATAAATTCCCTATTATTCACTTTAAGTATAAATTTTTACAACAAACTCCAGTTCTATGAGCTCTATAAAGATTTTAATCAAAATTGCTTGACGCTGAAAGCTCAAATTTATTTTAAACTAGCTGTCGCCCGTTACTTCGTCTGCGCGGAATTTAAAAAAAAACATAATTAGTAGCATATGTGTTATTCCAGACTATGTTCTATATGTATGCCAAATTTTATCGAGATCCGTTCAGTCATTATAAAGATATCTCGAAACAAACATTCGCTTTTATAATATTAGTAAGAAAAGACGAAATTATTGAACGGACACACCAAACCAAAGAGGAAAAAACCTTTTATTGATACAGTAAAAAGTACATACTTTTCCTTTGAAAATATTTATATTAAAAGCTATATCGTGGCTCCTATTTAGTAAAAATATTAGACAATTTGTAAAGTTTTATTTGATATTCTAGATAAAAATTTAATTCCGCGTAAATTGGATATTTGTTGGAAGTCAGAAAAATAACCTTTATATGTTCATTGCGAATTAAATCTTTCCCTAAGATTTGTTTTGTATTAAGTCGCTCATTCTAATTAATGTCTGCTAAATATTCCCAGAAACTCCAATTAGTTTCTAACCTTTACTTATGCGTCTATAAATCCCTATCAGGACGCGTGAGCCGATCTTATTACGTCCCTTATCCTGTACAATGTAAACTAAGAGCCGCTACGTGGCCGTTTTACGGAACAAAGTAATTGGGTTATTTAAACTCCGTTACAGATCCTTAACATTTTAAGGTCTCTACGACCAAGGTGTACATTGGGACAATGTTTCACAGTTGCTTATTGAATTTATGTTTTAATATTTTTTATAGAATTAAGTTAATTATCTGTGCATTTCATAGAGTTACGTAATATGACCATGATAAGGATTAAGAAGGTAATATCATACTAATATTATAAATACAAATATTTTAATGGATCGATGGAGTAAGAGACGTCAATAAAAGGCGGGGTCAACGAGTGGACTGATTTATTTGTAAAGAAGATCATTAAATATTTTATGTACTGAGACACTTATTATTATCAGATGCTACAGATGGATGGATGTTAGATGGTATCTCCAGATAGTCATAGATTTAGAGTACAGTATGGAAGAACACTTAGGTTACTAATAATATTTTTTTTTCTTTAATATCGCGCGGAAGGCGCGTCCGACAGCTATCTGTTATAAAGTCGACGTAAACGCCACCATACATGGTCTAATTTATGACAATAAATCAATTTTTGATGTAAAATATATAGAATAAATATTATTTTTAACCACTGTTTTCTTTCTAGCTCATTACGTATATCTCCCTTTTATCAGATCAATGTCTATTAAGCATTCCTTCGGTGTTCAATTAGTAGCTAATAATTACTTATGTCTCAACAAATCTCAATTTGGGCGCGTGATCCGGAACTATTGC